AAGGTTGAGCAGCAGAACAATACTGTATATACTGGTGTCGTTGCTGGTGTTGAGAGTAAAGATTTGAGTATTGGGAATTTAAAGTTAGACTTCAATAGACCAAAAATATAAAATTTTGTTAACACTGACCGTTTCGGTATTTTAACCATGTGGTTTTGTGGACAGTAGGGTGATACTGAAATACAGGATAAAATCTGTTTCATTAATATAAATGAAACTTGATGATGCAGCAGATGCTAATCAGCATTGACCTCCATTGAAGAAGCCTCAAACACACAGGTGGTAGCTCTCAGATATCATTACCTTGTGCATTGTTTGCTATTGAGTGGGAAGGGTTATGCACAACTGTCACTCAAATGTCTCTTGATGAATGCCTTGGAAAGGATGTTCTATCCCGAGACGAGGAGATTGGCAGACTGTTGTTCCAGTGGGTGACTGCTGTCAACCTCATATGTTTTCCAGAAAGGTGTTTGAAGTTCTGTAATTAGGCAACTTTGGTACATGAGCACGTGCACATTCATTTGGTTGATGAAGAACTTGATGGCAACGTCGCTCTGCATTCCAATCAAAACCTCAGCAATTTTTGCCTGACTAAGAATACATCCATTAAAGCATGGCTTGTAAAACGTTCCAGTAAATCTTTTCTGGTAGGGACCTACTGTGTAAAGAATGAACATACAGTTTGAAATTCTAAGTCATGTTGTTGCCATTTCTAAGATGTTAACAGCAGAACTACCAGTCACCAAATACAACATAGATTTAAGTGTTTTTCAGAGAAGAACTGTTGTGTATGATTTTATCTCGGAGTTTCACAAACTTGGTCGAGATCCAGAGCTCTATAGACATGAAGTGTCCAGTGATGCAGGGTTATACCATTTCAGACCATATTGCATTTCCTCTTGCCTGTGTGCGAGAAATTGGAGTTTGCAGCCTTGAGTGTTGCTTAATTAATATAATATAATAAGGCTCATGCTAATATTGCATCTGTATAGTGGCAGTGTGGGCTAATCTTTTTTTGATGATAGCTTGGCATTTTCAGTATCTTGATTCCCTGCAAGTCTGTTTCAAGCTGACAATACTGAAATATTAAAATGGCTTCTGTTCCTATTCATGCATGCTTCCAGAAAATATGCCCTCTCATTTTGGCCATGAACGTTGGCCGTTTGGTACTCCTTTCTACCACGAGCGAGAATGGTATAGAGAATTTTTCACAAACTGGTAATGTAATACTTTTGTTCTTATATTGTGCCAAAATGAAACCTCTGCGGGCTGCAGTTAGAACCTTGTTCTAAGTGTGAGATCATTAAATTGAGTGGTGTTTAATGTAAAAGTGGTTCCTGTACCGATATCCTGAAAGCTGCTGTTCAGATTCATGTACATTTCAGTGCATCTCTTGCACCAACTTGGACCAACTTTGCTTAAGTTTTCCCTTTTCATTCTGTGACAAACGATAAATACCGTTGGAGGAGAAAATAGGACTTTGTTCTTTTTAAATTATTCACATAGACCAGAACTCAAACACGTACTAAACCTTCCAGTACGCTTTTTGCACTAAAAAAAGGAAAAAAAAAGTGCAGTGAAAAAAGTTCCTTGTGGACCTTTCTTTGAGGCTATTTAGATGTATTTGGTGATGGCCAGGAGGTAGTCTGTTCAAAGAAAGCATATTGCATATCAGAAAGCTTTTTTTAATGATGGGAAAAGAGGACATTTTGGCAGTTACTCAGAATATTTGAATCTGCCGAGATGTTTTTTACCTGCCAAGATAATTTATTGACCGGCATGCTCTTGGTTATTGCCCACGGTACTGGCAGAATGTTGCTTTTCTTATGTATCAGATCTACTCGTACATAAAAAAGGACCTATGGGGGCTGGTGTTGGAATCTCACATGGCCAGTTAAGTTAAGACATCTACAGAGTTTCTTTCACTTAAGGCACAAAAGGCATTTGAAGCATTTGACACTACCAAGACTGGTTTATATAGAGCACAGGGCAAATTAGGGGTGTCAGATCAACACCTTCATTCAGTACTATATAAATCTGGGTTGTTTTTAAGAGGAAAAGTTAGGAATGTTTTGTTAAAGTACATAACCCTTTTTACTTAATATTAACAACACCCTTTACTGCTAAATTTTATTCCTATTCCTGTTTATTTGCAATTAGTAAATACAAAGACACTCTGTACATGTTACTAGCAATGAAGATTGTACTAAAAGAATTATATTTTTAAAAAGCTTTACACAAACTTTAAGCTTTTCCCAATAGTTAAGCATTAAAGGCCAAATCAAATTTCTGATTAAAATGTTTTTGAAGGTGGAACCTGATTGATTTTACCTTAAATCCTAGTGCTGTCTTACAGTACAATGCTAAATTCTAAGGTTCCATACTGTATAAGGTTGTTTAAGACTTTCTTTTAGATGGAGAAAAGAATCCTACTGTATGTGGGAATTACTGGGCCTTCTCTATTGAGGCGAACTAGTTTTAGACTAGGGTGAGCCTGTGGTATATGTAATGATTATTTTAAATAAATAATTTTACATTAATTAAGAATACAGAGCTTAAAGAGGCCCAGCAGAAGGAAAGCATTAGGTGTTGAATGCTTGTAAGGTTTACTATGTATACTAACCTTGTTTCTTGGCCTGGGTGCATTTAAATCAATACAGTGTTTCCTTATGGTTTTGCTGTGTGGTCATGGCTGTTGAGATGGAGTGGCAGGTGGGGGTGGCCAGTGGTGACAGACGTGGTGTACTCTTCCCATCTGTCTGGTAGTGCTTTTCCCCACAAAATCCTTTCTGCGATCAAATCTGTCCCACCAGCATTTCTATGTCAAGGCAAAAAAAAAAATTAGGCTTAATGTATGACTCCAGGCAGATTGGAAATACATCACCAAGCACTTTCTGCACCAGTCAGTTCAGGATAACTTCATCGGTACAAGCTTAAGTGTAAGTAGCCAAGGACTTGTTCTGCGTTTTGCTGGCAGTGTGGCCATGTTTTTTTAAATATAAACCTTTTATTTATTTTATAGTGTCTTTGAAAGTGGCTTTTCAAACTGCTTTATAGAACAAAAAAACCCCACAAATTTATAGGAGATAGTAAATGGCTGTATAACCTACTGTAGAAAAAACAGGTATGCCCCAGTACTAAGAAAGACTCAAAAATAATTGCTGCTTGTTTAATATACTGTAGTATTTTACAGATTGTCATAAAATATAAACTTTGTGGTGTATCTCAAAGGGTTAAGGATTTTGAGTTTCTAATTAGTACATATTGTCCTTAAAACACATAATGTACATTCCGGGAAACCTATTTTAATGACAGTGGTTATTTTAGAAATCTCTCTTTTCTTGTTTTATATTTCTAGAAGGAAAATATGAGCCGTTCAGAGAAAAAAAAACGCATTTCAGGGTACAAATCCAGTTTGTTTTGGGATTTTGGCTTTTTGTGTTGGTGAAAGTGGATTGTCAGTTTTTGTGTGGCTCTGATATTAATTTTCTCCCCTGCCTTTACTGCTGCTTCATCAAAGTTGTGCTGACTCTCGACTAGGAAGTAAAGTAAAATGCCCTGTGTTTCTAAAGGATGGGCATAATAGAAGTTAAAACTGATTTCAATTTGGACAAAATAACAAACCACTCAGAAATCAAGCAAATTAGTACGACGTTCCTAGTGAATGAACGAATGAAGAGTAGTGGGAATGCCTGGCTTTTTATTACAGGGGTTTTCTTTCTGGAGTTCAGCACTGTTGCATTTACTTTCTCCATCCAGTATATTTCTGTGTGTTCTGGATTCTGTACTTTCCTTTTATAGCAGCATTATGCCACACTGGCCTTGGAACAACCACAAGTCAAAGCAGCAGTGCCCTTGCAGCTGCTTCCCATCACAGCTCACTTTGACAGCCTCCTGTCTGCACATCTTGCATGGCAGATAACGCTTTATTGAATGGGTAAATATCGTCAGCTTGTGAACATGGAATTCAGGGTCTTGAGCCCAGCAGCGACCCTTCCAGAAAATCAATGTCCATCTGTTCTTCCGCAACTTGAAAGTATAAGTGTGACAAGGTGGTGTGATAAATAATGAAAAAGAATAAATAATTAAGGAGTCTAACGCTGAAGGACGTCTGAATGTTGGAATGAGATGCAGACTGTCCTTTGCATTTGCCGTTTTGCTGTGAAGTGTTTTAATTTTTGTTTTCTTTGTTTTCTATGGTTGGTTATATATGTTTTCTTTTTGTAATGCAGTAATTATAGCCTGGCTACAGTAATTATCTTCCTGTTTACTCGTAAGGCATTTTTCATTGAGAAAAATGTGAACCATTGTTTTTTTTTGTGTGCTCTTGGGCTCTCTCTATCATCAGGACCACTGGGCATTTACTAGGAAAGTACAAGAAATACAGTGGGCTTGGCAGCAACCACACATCGTTTCGTTGATGCACTGCAATTAAGGGAGTAGCACCTATATTCACAGAAGTATTAGGATTAATATTTATTAATATATTAAGATTAGCTTTACGTTATTTCATGCATACCTTTTAAAGGAGTTCAGGTGGGTAGCTGCATCAGCATGCGTAGGCTGCAAAGGAAAAAGTAATAGGTTTATTCCATGCTGAAAAAAAGAAGAAAGAAAACACAACGTTTCGGTGTGGGGCCACACACCTGAAGGAGGCCCCACGGCGAAACGTTGTGTTTTCTTTCTTCTTTTTTTCAGCATGGAATATACCTTTTAAAGTGTCACATTTGACTGTTATTTTTTCAATCTCTGACTCTGCTTTGTTTCTCTTGGAATCTGGCAGTATGGCTTTTTTAGAGAACAGAGAAAACATCCTCTGCAGTGTAAGGGCTCTGTGGCTCCCCGTCTGAAAAGATGGTGTTTGTGGGGGAGGAAGGCTTTAGCTGGAAAATTAAATACACACGGCTCTCTTCAGTCAGCAAGTTTATTCTAGGGAGCAGGGACATTCTTTAAGGGCTGCCCATCCCTACAGAATTAGCGCAGAAGGAGGGGTTCTCTTTGCTGGCCAGATGGGCAGGAGAGGAGCTTCAGTCTGAGGCTGGGTTCAGTCGAGCGAGGAAGAAAGACTCTAACCATGAGGTTCCTTAATGTGGTGAATACTCAGGACCAAGTGGCTGTAAAAGTGCTGGACACGCCCACTCTCCTCATGACTGAGATGTCTATTGCTGTGTAAGTTTTTTCATTGAAATGATGTCATATCTCCATATGGTGCTATTGTTGACAAGGGGAATGAGATGGGGAAAGTAATCTCTTGTATATGTGTAGTATTTTAGTGTCATGTGGTTGGTTATATTTCCGTCATGTTTCCTTAATGTTTTGTTCTGTAGGACTGTACCTACAGTAGGTGCTCGGATAACATACTGGATACAGCATATGAGCTGTGATCAGATTTGAAGTGGGACTTAAATAACTCATGACTAGCCTGCTATCACAGGCCAGTGCTGCACTAATCCATTAATAGGCTGATGTAGAATTAGACCCTCTTCTTGGTTTGGCAGTGGTTATATTTATACGAACCACATCACTTTCATTTTTGTCTCTTCATCTTTAGAAATCCGCCAATTGCTGGAGTTTTTCGTGAAAGAAAAACCAAAATGTGTACAGTATATGAAGTATGGGAGCACAGTGTCGGTGAAGCCTGTTTGTTTATCTTCTGTTAAATCCCACCGTGCACACAGATGGGAGGTCGCAGAAAGTGGTGTGATGCCGGATCATTTTTTTAATTTATTCTAGTGAATATATGGTGTTTATTTCTGCCCCACTAATCTGTGGCCTCCCCAGGCTTTGAAAATTAATGGAACTTGATCCACAGTTCTGTGTACTTCATTCTTATAGCCACTTTTAAGCGGATAGTATGGTTCTGAAAAAACAGTTTTGTGCTGTCTTCCCAAAGTAGAGGTAGTTTTTGCTTTTTCATCAGCATCTTTTTTTATATGCGCATATTTAGCTGTTCTGCTAGTAGATTTTACATAGATTGTCAAGATCCATGTGCAAACAATAACCTTCCCTTTATCTGCTTTTGAAACTGGAGAACTGTTTTTGTCAGCACATCTCTGTTAAGGTTTTAAACTTTTCTCAGGCTGCTGTGTTTAAATCATAAACAAACATAAAAACACCACACTTATCACTGTTTTCAGTCTTTGCTTGGGAGCTGCCATTTGAATTGGATGACTTATTTCTCTTGCACTACAACACTGTACCCTAAGATTGTTAGGGTACACTTGGATATGATACACTTGATACTTGGGGAACTGTGGCATACTTGAGTTTCTGTATTATAGTAATAAGTTTCTATAGCCCAGTGAAGTAAGCTGAAATTCTGTTTACTCAGAGAGCCATCTCTAGGAATTTGCCGGATACAGCCAGCTGTACATTCTTTTCAGGACAGAGATAGCAATAAGGCTTGCTTTCTTTCTCAAATTTTTGTTGTGCTGCTGTTGGAATGGAAGATGGGTTCTGAAGGGAAAATAGGTTCAAGATGTGTACTAGAAACTTGCACTGCCACAATTTCTGATTAATGCATCAAGAAATGTATAGACAATTCCTGCCTTGTACTGTTTGTTGGCAGACTAACTGAACACAGGACTATATAATTTATAGTAATGCTATATTAACATTTATTTTTCTCTTAAAAATACTTAATGAGGTTGTCAGTCGTCACATAAATGTGGAAGCATGCTGGTTAAGGAGTCTCAGATTTTGTCACACAAGGACTTTTTACCCCTTTCTGGAAAGTTATGTAGCAGGAAATGCTTCATGAATATATCCCATTATTTTAACAGATGTACAAAATAACTGGGTTCAAGCAGGCCTCCAAGTTGTAATAAGATACCAGAACCAGATTTAAAGACAGACTGTGAACTTGCATGGTGGGTTTAAAAGTTTCCTTAGGTTTACTTGGAGAGATTCAACAAAGCTGATTCTTCAAGAGCCCTGGCGATTTTTTTGTCATGCATCCATATTCTTAATTGTTTTGTATTCTTAATCCTCTGTCTGCATTGGAGTAATTTCAAAATTTCCCCTTGTTCTGGTTTCATCTAGGTCTTGAAGTAGTAATTTAGGTTCTCTGTGGGGTTTTTAATAGATTTTGAATATCTTGGTCGTATTTCCTTATTTTTTCCCAAGAGATTTAGTATGTTTAACCTGCCTAATGTTATCCTTTCACTTGGCAGATTCATCGTTTTAGATATTTGTGGTGTGCCATGCCAGCCAACATTCTCTCCCAACACAGCATGATGACAGTTACTGTACACACATGATACTTCATTACAGTACTATATATAATATATATGCACTCATCCCTCATTAAACGAGCACTGCATTTACAAGTACTTGCTAAAAAAGGCAAATGCGCATATCTGTTTTTGTAAGATGAGTGATTTTTCCCTGCTAATATAAGCTCTGAGAGTGTAGCTTGTTCTTCTTTTCCATTTTTTGCTCCTCTTGGCTGTCTGCACAACTGATGCGCATTTCTCTCCTGATGTCACCTCTCCCACGATCTTCAATGCTTTCTCACAGTCTGCAAGTAATGGGTCTACACAAATTTAATTCATTTGAAAATTTTTGTTTAGTAAGAAATTTAGATTAGTTCATTTTATATTGTTGGTATACTATAGAGATCATGCAAATTGTATTTCTCCCCATAACTGCTCCTAATACATTTAAATGTAACAACTGCCATAAAAAAAGTGGGAAATTCTACTTGCATAGCAATTCATAGGTCCACAGTATCGGTATCAATGTATCAGAAAAAGTACCTCAGATGGTTTGTGTCCGGTTATGAACACTTGGAATGCAAATTCTTCTATGTTTTACTGTTAATTAAAGATCAATAACAATATTTTATTGTAGATTTTGGGTTTGCTTTTGTAATCTTGGACCCAGTTGTGCTGGTATAATAAAGGGATGAGTGTATAAGCTACTACATCTTAAAATTGAGGGGGAACAAGCCGGAAAACATTTTCAGTATGGACAGAACAGACTTGTTTTGAAATGGATGCTGAAAAGAACATAGCTTTCCAAAGGAGAGAAAACATCAGACTTCAAAAGGACCAGGCTCAAGCTAACCTTTATTCTCTGTGCTAATTATGACCGCAATGTAAAATCTGTTGTGTGATTAACCCAGAAAGCAACGACAGCATCTTGACAGCCCACAAACAAGTCTTGGCATTTGTCCATCCAGCTAAAAGGGCTTATTCTATGACCATGCTCAACCTCATCAAGCCTGGGTGCAATGCTAGCTTTAAAACTTACTACACTTCATGAAACTTCTTGAAATTCAGGGTGTTGGAATATGATGAAATGCTAGACTGATAGGGTGTGCTGAAAGGATCACAACATTGCTGACTGCATCACTAAAATGAGGAATCGGAGGTTGAAAGATATCGAGTCACCTTTGGAGCAGCAGAATTGGTTAGGTAACAGGAAGGCTGTAGGTACACATTCTAGGTAAGACAATGCTGATGCATCCTGTTAAAGACCTTTCAATAAAAATCCATATAAATGAATGGCGCTTTGTGTTGCTACAATAAGTGTTGGCCAAATTGTTGTGTAGTAGGGAACAGACTAACAGAACTTGACAAACACTGACAAAGATAGACTTCAATTGAAAAACGCAGTTCTTCAGACACAGCCGATAATTGGATGACCAAATATTTGTATATGGTTTTTCTATGAACATGGCCTTAAGGTTAAGATGGAAACTGAAGTTGTCATAATGCCTTACCAAGACATTTCCCCTACAGAAAAAGGCTCATGATGTTACTTTGTAGCCCTGCCTCCCCGAGTTTAAAACAGAAATTAAGGGTATGAGATCAGGGTTTTATTTTCAAGTGCAACCCAAGTTAATATTCTACTATTTATTAATAGTAAGCATTAGCATGTATTGCGTGTAACCTAAAACCTTTTATAATATACTTGAATCTGATCTCTTAATTTTTCTAGAAGATTGAAGAGATACTGCACTTTTAACCTGTCTGTACAGTATATGACAGTTCTCTGTGGCCGAGAATCTTCTTCTTAGAACTTTTCTTTTGTAGTATATTGACCAGAGTTGAACAAAATATTCTATGGTTTTACTATTGTCTTGTGCTCCTATAGTGTATTTAAATACCACACCTTTAGCTGTACACAAGCATTGTTTGCTTTTATCCTTTCATGTCTGTATCGAAACAAACACCCAGATCCTTTTTGTGTGCATGTTCCTTTTTCAAATCGTCAATAAGATCGTTTCTGCTAACTGTATGGATCACTTTGCCTTTACCGATTTAATTCGTAATATGTCTGCCCACTCATTGCGGTACCCTAGCCATTATTATTTATCTTCAAATTTAGTTAGCTCGCGATCCAAATCATTAATCTAAATCAATAAGAGCAGTAGGCCCAAAATGGATCCACGTTGCACACTTGTGCTTCCATTTACCCAAATTAAAGCTGTGCCTCTGCTGTTTCATGTCCATTAACCAGGTCTTGATCCATTTGCACGTTTCCCTGGGTTCCTCTCTTTTAATCAACCTTTGTCCAGTAAACTGTACAGGGATTCTTTATGTAGTCACAGGGAATTTACAGCAATTTGGACGAGATTAACTTTTTGTTCGAGCTTCCATGAGCATGATGCTTTTTATTATGAAGAATGTTGAGTATTACTGATGTTTAAAAAGTAATGGCACAAGAAGAGATAATCGGAAGTGCTTTCCATACAGCCTGTTTTTATGTGAAATGTATTGCTGGAAACTTACTAGAGTACAAGTCTTTTGATATTTCTTAAAGTTCTTAGACAAAAGGTTTTGGTATGAAAATGTGGCAGTTATCATGCATTACAGTTTTATGCATTCTATTGGGGGGTAAAAGTATTTAAAGTGTCAAATGTTTCTCAATATAAATGGGAAGATGCTCTGTCTGTGGTGAGACCAGCCAGTCAGAGCATAACATGCTGAGAGGAAAAAGGCAAATTCAAACATAGCTTGTTTGTGAATTTACAATATTTAGTTTGTAATTACTCTAAGTACATGTTTTCACTGTTCTACCTGCTAATTAGAACAAGGTGCTTCAAAAGAATTTAACTTGCTGTCTGCTCCCACAGTAATGCAATCCTCTAACATAGCCAACAGTCTGTGGCTGAGTCATGGTGGTGGTGTGAAAAGGCTCAACATCTAGGTTTTCAGCTCTTT